TTAGCTTCGCAGCAACAAAGATAACGCCTTCATTTATTATTGCCAATTAAATCATCCTTAATCCTTTCTGGAATTTTTCGAGGAAATAAGTGTTTAAGATTTACTTCGCAATTTTTAATATAGATATTTTGATTTTTTATGCATTTTGCCTTCTCGCGAAGTGAGAATTGAATTAATTGAATGAGAAATACTCAATCGTCTGTGAAAAACTGTTTCTTTTTTGTTTTGTTTGCTTAATTTCTTTTATACATCATTCTAGCTTTATTATAGTACTTGAACAGAACATGTGGCAACGATTAGATAATTTTGTCCTATAAATGATATAAATTTTGTGCATTATGAGTTATAATATGAACGAAATATAATATTGTTAAGTGAATCTAGCGCCAGAGTGTCGCTATGGTAAACAAATACTAGAGTGAATTTTAAAGAATTAATTTATTCTATTGTGGTTCATGCGCTGTCGGCGAAGTAGATTTAATTCATTCCAATAAGATAAATGAAATGCAAGAAAAAATGCGTATAATTTAATATTCCGTACAAGGAAGTCATGTGGTGTACACATCAGATTTTTTTTAACCAGATTACGAGCACGTTTTACTGAGCATGGGCATCGTCTTATGATTTCGCCCATAAACTAGCACTGCTTTGGCAGTATTTTTCTCCTTTTCAGATAAAAGAGCCTTGTTGTTTTTTCTGTATCATCTATTTAGCACTTTCAGCTACCTAACTGAAGAAACAATCTTACATCCGAACACCTAACTGAAAAAAAATCCTCATTAAAGGTTTTCAGAAAGAGTGCTTTAGCGACAGCTTTAGAAACAGTGCTTTGGTGTTCTGTGACTGGTGTTTCTACTGTCTATCCCTGTAAAGTTCGCAAAGTGCTTCAGCGCACCTCTAATCTGTGTTGTCATTGGTCCTTTACAATTATCTTCTTTGAAACTGCTTCACCCTGCCAATTTTCGTCATACGTGTATCCTTCCAACGCAATTACTTTTTTTAGTGAGCTGATGAATTTGCGCAAGAAAAACGTGGATGTTGCCGCAACATTCTAAATTTTTCAACCTAACTGTATTCGTGAGAGCTCTATTGTTAAATCATCACATACCTTCAAATACCGTTATCTGAAATTTCAGTTCGATTGGTTGAGGGATAGACACCAAAGGTTCACATACCGGGGAAGTTTTTGTATGACCACTTATAAAGTATTTCTCCCACCTTATTAAGGTGTCTTCGTGGTGTAGTAGTTCTGCACGCTGGGCCGGTATTCCAGAGGTCCCGCTTCCAAAAAATACTAATGCCTCTACACACTCTGTATTTTTCTGTTGGCCTTCAACAGAATGAAAATTAGATTATTTTAAAAGCGGACTTTTCTTGAGCATCGTTATGTTATTTTACGTTATGCTACCATAGACACACCATTTATATGCTTTCGCAAATGTTAGGACTGCTGTAAATATTAGGTTTTCAATTTATCTTTCATGCGCTTCAGACATGACCAGATCTCAGAGATTTGCCATTCAACAAAACTTAAATATTTTAATTTATTTTCGAATTTAAACAGTTTGTAATTATTGAAGAGACTGAGTAATTTAAGAATAATAAGCACGTGTCTTAGTAATTTGAAATTTTTTCATTTTAAATAACATATTTATTTAATTGATTTAAATTAAAATACTGTAATTTTCAAAGCACCATATATAATATAAATGGTAGTCGATTAGTTTTCAATATTTCTTTTACATTATACTTACTGCGATATTAATAATTAGTAATAAAGGTTAATTAATAAGATTAATTAATAATAATAAGATTAATATTAATAATTAATAATCATAAGATTAATAGATTAATAATTAATAAGATCAAGTAATTTTCGCATGTTTGCTAATTTGACATTTTAGTGGATCTTTAAATAACAGTGTCGGAAGCTATAGGTGAAATAGCTATAGTTAAAAGTTTTCGAGTAGGTAAATACTTTTCACTTTAAATGGAAAGTTATGAGGGAAACATGTAATTTAATGTTTCAGACTTAACCATTTGCCTTGAAGGCATACTTTCTCTGTTACCAATAACTTGGGAGGGTACATTAAGTACAAAAATATTGGATTTTTCGGGTGAAACGCGTTGAAAATTTCAGAAAATGATACCTTGATTATAATGGCTTCTTGAGATAATTAGATACAGGGAAACGTTGTCAAAATTTGTCCTTTAGGAATGACTTCGAAATGTTACGAGCTACTAATTAACGCTGTCTTTTCCCAGCAGGCGAATTTCTGCCCATTTCGTCTTTCCCATTAAAGATTCTTCAACTGGAAAATATCGTTCAGAAATTATTTTCGTCCTCAATGAATATCAGATAAGATTTATTTTTCGCCTTTCTTCTACTATTTCGGAAGCATTTCTTCGTATCAATATTGAATGAACTAGACATTTAGCATTAAAATTGCAAATGAAATTTTTATTCAGGAAAATTATCAAAAGGGCTTGATAAATTGCTTCTCAAAGTATGATTATAATTTAGCTGTTTTCCTTCCATTCCTCACAGACTGAATAATAAACACATTTTCTGCAATTTTGAAGTTACTCAAGTTCTAACTGGACATGGTAAATTCAATTCATATCTAAGATATTTAGATTCTCTAGTACAGACTTGTGTTCATGCAGTTTCGGGGGGAATGCAAAATGTCGAACATTTGTTGTTCTATTGTTCAAAGCTCAAGGAAGGACAAAAATAACTCATTTCTAGATTAAATTCTGTGAATATTACATTTCCTCCCCCTCCTCACTATTTTCCAACATAAAATGGCTTTCTCTTTCTTCTGTAAATTTATCTCTTAACGTGTCATCTGTGAATTTGTAAGTTTATTTTATTTTGTGTTGTGTTATTGTACTGTTTTGTATTGTGTTGTTGTGTATTTTTTGTTTTTTTTTACTTACCTCTATAAGCCTTGTGTAATACTATGTCGTGCACACGGATTTAAAATTTTAAATTAAAAAAAGTAGTGTATTAAATACTAAAATCAAAAACAATGCTAAGTTAGTTCTGATTTAACAAATTTTTAATTAAATATGATTTAACAAATAGTTAAGAATGCTAGAAACTCAAATTTCAGACTCAAATGCTTTGAAACTCTTTTGTGTTGGTAGAACATTAAGTCAGATTAATTGATTCATGTAAGACTCGTGTGTGTTTTCTGCCTTGTAATCTAGCTTGCGTTCATTTTATACAAGGGAAAATACCACGAAAACTCCTATCAGTCCATCCAGAGGGATTCAAACATGATCTGAATGAACAGTATGCAGAGGTCTTATCACCTGGCTAATAGTCAGCTGCTGAATAGTGTTGAAACGAGAGTGCAAGGAAAATCGTAATTACTCAGACTTTTGCATGTGTAATTACTTTTGAGTCTTTTATTCATGTATAAGTTTTAATGTGGAATAAATTTCGTATTTAATTCTTAAATTTATGGAGCATATTCTTAAGAGTTCCACTAAGCCAGAGATTAATGACACAATCAAATAACGTTACGCATTAAAAGCTTATAATTCTTAAAAGAGCTTTTAAAATTAAGTCAAAGTGCTGTGCTCAAAATCCATCAGAAGAAAATATATTGTACAAAAATAATTAAAATACTTTCGAGATGATATTAAGCACTTCATCTATTCCTGCATTTGCCCTGGATAATAAAACCGAAAAGAAAAAACACATTTAGTGAATAGCATTCTAAATGCACTCACTAAATGTTTCTTAACATTCTAAGTGAATAATAAAAATAATGCTTACCAGATATTTATTCTAACTTTTGATAAGAATGAAAATGCTTGAAAAAGCGCTTTCATTAACTGCCATAAAATAACTCAATTTACTGCCATAAAAGATCTCCGTTACTGCTATAACAAAATGCGTTACTTTAACTAATAGCATAATTTTAACTCAGCCGAAGATTCGTGCAATTTCATACCAAGAAAATTACAACAACAACAAAAATTGTTTTTAATGTATTGATTTAAAGCATCAAGCTATTAATAACACGATAAAATAAGACTAAGTACATAGAGCCAATTAATCATCCTTTATTTGACTACTCCGCTTACACTAAAAGCATTACATAATCATTTTCATAATTAGCTGTTATATAAGCAGTCTGTTATATAATATAAATATTGCAATATAAATATGTTTACAAGAGAGCTACGTAACATATACATGGTCTGTTAGAAAAATGTATACTACTTTAAAAGAAAATTATTTATTGTATGTTAATACCGAACTTAATAATAGGTTAATATAATCTCATTAGATGACGAAGTCACGCGTTTTCTTGGCATCGCTCTACCTCGTGTGTAGCATGTGAAAGATTTTGAGCATAACGTTTGGCAAAAATAGCATAATTGTTAATATAATCGTATATACTATTACGAAATGCCCAGTAAGATACCCTCCCCGCAAAGCGGATTTAGGAATACCAGAAAAAGGCAAGGAAAGAGCAAAATTGCCAGATTTGGCACGAAAACACCCATTTGGCGAAAAACTTGGCGATATGCCATAGACGGAGCGAGAATATTCTAGACCATTCTTACTAGTTTTTTCCTGAATGTTCTCGAAGAAAGGACAAAAGCTATAAATATCCTATGTATACTCGGAGTAGCAATATATCGTGAAGTGTATTTTGAGTGTATCGGGAAGAATATCTTGAGTGTCCTGAGTTCAGGGATTAGCTGGAGAGCGATCGACCGAGTCCGAAGCTGAACTTTAGTGCTTTGCCGTGAAGCTGTCTTCACTGTTATAGCCTGATAGCCTGAAGGATGTGTTGCTGATTGTTTCAGCGTGTATGTCGTCGTTTTTCGACTACTGTAAACATGTTTTGGAACTGTGCTCAGTAATTATGACGAATAAATTGTATTTCTATTCTTCATCAAGTGTTGTCGTCAATCACTCCAAATTCACTAACCCGTAGAACGCAAAAACTGGTGTCAGAAGTTGGGTTTGCGAGTGAATGCCAGTGACCCACCTGCAGGAGAAAGCCATGGACGAGGAAGTGAAGACTTTCACTGACTTCTCATCAGTTGCAAAAGCTGGACTAGAAGAGTTGAAAGCCGGACGGAACGAGATGAATGCTGTGATGAAAGCCGTGTATGAAGAGATGAAGGGTGAGATGAAAGCCGATATTAGAGATGAAGGCTGAGATGAAAGCCGGACAAGAAGAGTTAGTGAGAGAAATAAAATCGTGTCGAGTAAAGATAAAAGTCCGACAATAAAAACTGCAAGCGCAACTCCAATGGATGGAAGTGAAGCAAAAGAACATTAAGAGTGACATCTTCGAATTTAGCGGGAAAATTGGAGCCAATATAAAAGATGGGGAAGTGACAGTAGTGGCATCTGAAGAATCAAAGGATGAAGAAATGAAAGAAATAGCTGATGAAGTTTCTAAGAAAGATCAAGAAATGAAGGATGAAACATCTAGCGAGATTAAAGAAAAAGATGAAGAAATGAAAGACCGGAAAGAAGCGTTTGATTCTTAAGTCCCTGAAGTTGAAATGGAAGAAAGTGATAATACTGCTTGCAAAGACGTAGAAATAAAAGAAGCATTTGAAAAAGGTGAAGAAATAATTCATGGAAATAAAACTTCTGCTTCTTAGGTGCCTGAAGTAGAGATGAAAGAAAGAGAAACTGCGACTGTTAAGTTTGTAGAAAAATGATAGTGAAGTTATAAAGTGGCAATTAGCAAGCATTGAACTATCTGAAAATCCATGTAATGCAGAGATAGGGAAAAAAGTACAGCTTAAGCAGAGTGTTACAGTATTGCAAGAAAATACACCCATTTCTGAAACTAAGTGTGTGTCTCATACTATTATACATACCTGTAGAAGTTGTCTTGATTGTAAACTATGATAGTTAGTTTGTAAATAATTGGATTCTATTAATAACTATGAAGCAAAAATCGGAACAGTTGTCAGGAAATAGAAGCAAATAGGCATGTGCGAACTGCTAAACTACAGAGTGGTGAGCAAACTGTTTCAGATCTTCCTGTGGATGAAAAGTCTGAAAGGAGTGAATCTTCAGAATGTGATATGCAAAATAAAATACACCTGAGAACTGCAATGAAAAAAGTATTTAACCCGGATATAACTTAATGAAGAGCCTTAGACTGAAATTTATTCTGAAATTTAAATTATAAAAATTTGACATTCCTTTTATTTGTATCGAATTAGGCTTCTGACTAAGGACTGTATTGGCCGGGACGTGCAGTGTTTAGGAGGTGGCAGTGTTACGAGATGCCCAGCTGCAGTAAAATAGCTTCTCGGCAAAGCGGGCTTAGGGTTGCCAGAAAATGACTAAGAAAGACAGGGTTGCCAAATTTGGCGCAAAATCGCAAATTTGTCAATATTTGGCGATAAAACTGGCAATATGCCATAGACGAAGCGAGAAAATTCTAGAACGAATTCTTACCTGTTTTCACCAGAATGTTCTCGAAGGCAAGTCAAAATCTATAAATACCCTGCCTATACACGGAGTAGAAGTTTTATCGTGAAGTGTATCGTGAGAGTATCTAGAGTACGTTCAGTAGTAGTGTTTTGAGCTTAGCGGTTAGCTTCACAGCACCCGAACCGAGTCAGGAGCACTATTTCAGTGCTTTGCCGTGAAGCTCTCTTCACCGTTGTAGCCTGGAGGCTGGGTTGCTGATTATTTCAGCGTGCTTGTTTCAGTTTCTCGAAGACTGTAAACGTATTTTGGGAACTGTCCTGAGTAATACTGGAGAATAAACTGTATTTCGATTCTTCATCAAGTGTTGTCGTCACGAGCCACGAACCGGTAGAACGCAACAATACTCACCTAGATAGTTATTCAGAAGTACCATATTGGGGGTCATAAGCGGCCAGACACATAGCAAAACGGCGAATTGTTGTTTGAAAATTTTGGTCATTATACCCGCGAAAACTGCTGCACACGCCACAGTTATTTCTTGACGAAGAACCTCCAGCATAACCAGTTTCATTCGCTGCACGAAGACCTTCAAGGTCCCGCAAGGCTATTTTGATTTTTCTATCATACGTCATATGCATATATTACAACGAGAAAACCTAGAGGTGTTGAGCAAGCGTAATCCTACACACTCTAAATATAACTGAACTTTAAAACCAATATGTAGATACCAACTGTAGGCATTTTACCTCCTTTTAAAGTATAGTGAGTATTGTAATCTCGAAAAGTTTCGGATATCATAATTCAAGGGAAATATCCATTTCGAGTTTCCCGAATGCACTTAAATGATATTTTTTGCGTGACGCCTGTATATACGGACAGAATAAAAAAACATCTTTTTTCCTTAAAGGCACTGTAAAATAAATTGAAAATGATTCAAAAGGAATTTTCGTGGCGTCTCTACGTATATATGCATATCGAATAACGATTAGCCGTAGAATGTCGAAATTTTATACATGGGGACTGCTATAACATTTTGCACCTGCTTTTACTTCATTTCAGTTTCAGGTACCTTTTCGTTTCTATGGCAGTGTTTGGGAAAATAGATAGTGCAATTCAGTCAACTGCAAAATTATCAATCGATCACGTAGAAATATACAGCAGTACAAAAGCGAGGCGTTGAAAACAGCTTAAGATTTGAATTAAGCTGTTTTGACAATTTTAGTTTAGTACATACTGTGCAGATAAATGCAAATTAACATGTTTTAAAAAATATTGTTTTCTCGAATATCTGAATTTTTTATTTTTATTCATTTATTTTATGTTAGAAAATGTTGATAAAATGCGAATTGCCAAGTTATTTGCTTGAAATGAAAGAAATTTGCAATTGTTTGTATGCAATAATAATAATCATAAATATGCAGCAAAATAAATAGTTGCAAATAAATCAGCGGAAAATGCAGATATCATTCAAGTCTTCATGAACACACAGAAATATCGTAATTTGCCGATATTATACACAGAGTAAACTCTAAAACGCAATTCAGTTAACTTTCATCTAGCTATATCCTTTCTGAACTCCTTTAGAACTGAGTAGCAAAATGAATGCCCTTGTCCGAGGAGTATTTATATGGTCTTGCACTGGATTTTGGAAGTTTTGTAAAACCTTGCTCTTAGAACTTCAAACGTGCGGCTTTTATGTATCCTTTCTGAACTCCTTTAGAACTGAGTAGCAAAATGAATGCCCTTGTCCGAGGAGTATTTATATGGTCTTGCACTGGATTTTGGAAGTTTTGTGAAACCTCGCTCTTAGAACTTTAAACGTGCGGCTTTTATGTATCCTTTCTGAACTCCTTTAGAACTGAGTAGCAAAATGAATGCCCTTGCCCGAGGAGTATTTATATGGTCTTGCACTGGATTTTGGAAGTTTTGTGAAACCTCGCTCTTAGAACTTCAAACTTGCTTCTAAGAAGTTGCGAACTAATGAAAAATCCCCAAATCTTGCTAATTTGACGACAAAGTTCTGCCCAAGGCCTTTCAGGAGGGTTATACTGACTGGCCCTTACCTACGTTCTACATGAGGTATTTCCAGTATTTAAAAGTTGCTGGATTCAGAATCACAAAATCTTTAATTTTACACAAAAAATAAGCACAAATATACAAAATACGTGCACAATAATTTCAAATGTATACAAAATACACCATAAATGCAAATATTAAACAACTAAATAAATAAAACAATTCATCATAATAAAACAATAAACTAAGGAACAGCAATACAATGGGATGGATATAAAATGGATAATCGATATAAATATTTTCAGAATTTTTACTGTTAAAACCGCTATCTTGTTCGGGACTAGTATTGTTATAGAGCAAGTCTGACTTCAGGGATGTTTGGGTGTCGTGAGGGGAAAGGCGAGGAATTTTGGTGTAATAGACATCAGGAAAAAATAGGTAAATAAAAAGATTGTAAATACAAATCACTTTTGTAAAGGAAAAATACTTCCTGTCATCTTTATGAGTTCAGTTGTTTCAGAGCAATAATAAAACGCGGCATTCAATTTCTTCGTGTGAAGGAAAGGACGTTGCTTTAAAAGAAAATACTTCCTTGCGCGCAATTCTCTTAAAAGCTAGAAATTAGAATTAAGAATCTCTAAAATATACAGAACAAACAAATTCATTGTAAGAGATTAGAAATAAGCGGTATCTTTGAAAAAAAAAATACTGTCCTTCTGAGCATGGTGACATTTTGTTGTTTGAATGGCCTTTAAATTGATAAACAATAATATGCAAGCAGGCTGCCTATTATTGTTTAATGATCACTTCAGGCTGATGCACTAGATCTCATGCTGTGTTAAGCAGAATTAAAAAAATACGTTAGCCTTTTTTCGAGTAGCAAAGAGGAAAGGTACGATGCATAACTGTCATTGTCCCAGACTTCTAACTGGATCACAAAAAATTCTGTAATATAATTTTCGACAAATGTAAGTTCGTGTGAGGCGTGAGTGTGTTGGAGGTCAGTTTTAATTAACAATTAGGTCAAGAGTTAAATAAAAAAAATACTGTAGAAAAAAGAGAGAAGAGATATGCGAAAAGAAGGAAAAAACTAAGTAAGGTGCCTTGAAAAGAATTTTGACGAAATGAAGACTAAATAAAGAAAAGAAAATGCAAATGATAAATGGTATAGAAAGTTGTATAACGAATAGAGAACAGAAATAAGCATAGTGGTGTGATGAACCGCAAAATTGTGCAAGATAAAGGAAAATTTACTCAAGATGTGTCTGTCTTATTTGTGATGATCAAACGAATTAAATTGTTACTTAGTGTGTGCTAAGGACTTTTTCAGATAGTTAAATATCGTGATCTGGAATACGCGGAAGACAGACTGTTTTTACTAACGAGAACGACGAAGAAAAAAACATTGACTTCATTTTGCTGTTAAAGTCTTTCTGACGTGACAGCTAGCGGACTTCCATAATAGAAAGACTAAATCGAATTTTTATTTTCTTCACAAAATAATTCCCAGTTTCTTTAGAAAAACGACTTCTGGAGGGGGTTCAGAACGAGACCCTTAATCTAATGGATGGTCGTAAGTGTCAAGGACCTTTTTTTATCATTGGAGATAATTTGTTTTATGCCAGATCATGTCCTTAAAGAAAATATTGAGTACCTCGTAAGTGCGGAATCTCTTGTTTCATCACTGCAAAATTTTTGTTTTATTTCCTAACATAGCAGGCCACCGTCAGAACCAATAATTCGTATATCCAAATCATATTTCGCATAGAAGTCCTTCGCATACTGAAAGACATTTTTTCCTTTTGTGGTTGTTTTGATGGCTTCCAGAAAAGGAAATCTTCCAGTACAGAACATCATGGGTGTACTTTATGAATTCAATGAGCCGACTGCAATTTGCAGCATCAGTTGTTTCGTTCAACTGGAGAGAGACGTTTTAAGAGACTAGCTCTATTATCAGAGACATCTTGATTCAAAGTATCTGAACTCAAATCACTAATCCGGCTTGGAATAACGTTATTTGATAACGCCACTATTTTATTATAAATTTTTGAATAGTAATAACAGTAATAATAGGTGTTGT